CCCTCCACGCCAGGCGACGGACATGTGTCGCACGGACGCTCCCGCTCCCCCACGCCCCGCGCCAGAAGCTGCCAAGTGGAAAAGGGCCCTTTCTTCGAGGCCACTGGGCGGTGAGGAACACTCAACTTTTGGCAACAGACTCTTCCTAACACTGTTCTAAGGTTCCTTCCAAACGCTCCTCACCCTCCTCGTTCTTCTAGTTCTATACGAAATGTGCACAACCAAGTGCAGAGAACTGAAACGTAGTTTTTCTAGGAAATAACGAAACGAAGGATAATTGAAATGATGATTTATAAATATTTATTTTATGGATTATAGTCAAACTTTAGTACTTCTATCGTACTTCTCCTCCGAGTAAATCTATGACCAGCATTGTCACACCAGATTCCTTCCTATTTGCTCTCACGCCGCGACTGCTTCCTAGAAAACTTCATTACTTGAGTTTAGAAACATTATCGAATCATATCACTATCATCCAGTCTTTTAATTTAATTTGTGAATAACTTGTTGCACAGTTTTTTTTATTTTAAAAAAACTTATTTCTATTACTATCACCATCTTACATCAGCATCTTATAAGTGGACTTAACAGATTATTTTGGAAACTCTTTTAGTTACTGCATGAGTCAATGCCTATATTTTCGACAAAATGTGTTTTTTATCATCGTGTTTAATTTTCTCTAAAAATTCAAAGTTTAAACTGTGTTATTTTCTTGAATAACAATTCCGAAATGTTTTCGTAGTTAAATCAGATATAATATTCGGAAATGAAATTTCATTAAACTTTGCGGCCGTACGTCTCCAAACAACTGCACATCAACTTCTCTCTCCCTCTCTCCTGCTTATTCTTTTAACTACAATAAATACATTCAGTAATATTCGTGTAGAACACGTGTTATGTTAGCGAATCAATAAGCTAATAATACCCCCATCGTTGTCGGGGTTATTGTTCATGGGGTCAAAATGTACTTGTACGTACGTGAACCGATAGCTCATTGTTCTAATGAACACTTGACATTACATAGGCAAATTTTCGCCTAGTACCCATGAAAAGTAATAATTGGATTAAAATAATGATTTGAGAAAAGTTATTTCAAAACGTCTAAGGGAAGAAATTATGACAGAGAATTATATCTGGATACTACCACACAGTGGACGAGACCAGTTTGCTTATCCAGATACATAACTTAAATATTAAGGGATAACAAGAAATAGGCATAGTTTGAATGGATGTAGTTTGCAGTTATTTCAGTGCCAGGAACTATTGTCAGTATAAACTTTCATTGCGATTAATTTCGCTCAACCATATGCTGAGATAACGGATTTGGTGTAAAAGCTAACAATAAGCAAACATTGCTGCAGAAGGTAGCAGCCTTTATTGAAGAATACCAAACTACACTTCAGAAGTCAAGACTTGTTTTCAAACAACGAACTGTTCAAAGATGGACAGATGTGCGCCGTTAAAAGCTGGAAACGATCGTCACCTCTTGTTAGCAGCTCGCGAGAATTGCTATCAGATAGCAGCGCGCTTTCCAACCAGCAGCAGGACACGCAAAATGACGAAATAGTTTTCGTAATGGGCGCATATCCATGCTGATTCGGACAGGTAAATAAACGCTCGGCAATGTGCACTGAAGACACAGGAGTATGACAAATCCTCGGGGAATTAATAGGAACGTATTTTTCCCTCGAGTAAGATAACTGACATCAGCAGAGAGTGTGGAACAAAACAAACGTTTTGCGAAAAATTATTAATTGTAATTTAGATGACTGATGAGTTGGTGACTGCTTTTATCAAACATTTTAATTCATTACATAAGAAAAATACTATGAATTTTGAAACTTATCCTTTTTCTGTAATTATTTACAGATCCGAATATATAAAATACAGGAAGAAAGAGTCCTATAATGAGTAACAGACATGTCAACTATACATAGGCACGGAAATTCCATCTGAAAAGTCACAGCAGATCGGGCACACCTGTGCAATTTAAAGGCGAGCGTTGTCGTCCAACACAATAACCCCATTTGACAACATGATGGGCGATTTGAGTGTTTAAAGTGTGCGGTTGCGTTGACAGTTTCCAGTTGCCTCCAGTCGATCAAGAAACAAAGGTCCTTCTTGTCGAAGAATATCAAGAGCCTCCTTTTTGTTGCTGTGGTGAGGATGAAGTGTCTTTTTTTGGGCCATATTTTTGTGCATTACTGGGAACGGAGACTTTTAAGAATGACTCGACCTAGTTCTAAAGAATCCCTCCGAACCCTTAATAAGCGTCTTGTTGGTGGCTCTGTGATGGTATACCGTGCTTCAGCGAAATCATATAAATTATGGCACGTTAAGTGGTATATATGGAAGAAATGTGTGCAATTGTTGGTACATCTTCCGTACTTGCTGGGAAATACCTGCTGATTACACACTTTGAAAACGTCGTAGATGCCTTTGACAGAAGCACATCAGATCATTTTGGCGTAGATCGTAAGGCTCTGCCCCGGTTTGGATATAATATTGCATATATCGTTTTCTTATTAACAAAGTAAGTCAATAAGTAAGGTATCGGAATGATTTTATTCTTCAAATTGGAAAACATAGTATCCAAATGCATAGACGGCGGTATTTTTGAACAAACAGCAGAAAATGCAACACTAATATTCGACAAAAAGCAGATTTTTTTCTTATGACAGTCCGTAAAGCATATATAATTTATGATTAAAATAATTTTATAATTTACTACAAACTTAAATATGTGAATATCCGACATTACTTGATATTTCCAACTGTGTTTCAGGCATTTACAATTATGTAAAATTTAATATATTACCTCAAATTGTAAAAAAAAAAAACTGACTCTATTCAAAGTGAGTCAGAAGATGTAATTCAGCGCAAGAAAATGAGGTTTCATTGTCAGTTTAATTTCTTACCTCTGAAGTAATTTCAGAATCAATAACCTTAATATAAATAATCTGGATTATTAATTTATATCATATAGTCACATTTTTATTGTCAGAAAAAGTAAACTGATTTGCCTAGCGAGTAAGAAAGGACAAATGAAAATACAAATTTTACATATGCAATTGGATATAAAATTCTACCATTACTACAAGATTGAAAAAAAGGAGATAATAAAACTAAAATCTGATAAATACAATTACAATGTAATTTTTCCGCAATTCACATCACAATTTATGCCAAAAAAAGATAATGTTATATTCTTATAATATAATTATATAGTACATAATTATTTGTTTTTTCTTACCTTGCGAAATCCCTTTTCTTCACCATGACGAAAATGAACAATTCCTTCGTCAAATATGTATGCACGCAATGGCGCTATGGAAGTTATGAGAACAAACAGATGAAGGGAGATGGGCAGGCCCATTATTCGTAATTGACCCGGAATAAACTTTTCCACTATTGACTCCTCATCCTCCGGAAATCTGAAAAGAGAATGAAGGTGAACTTTGAAAATAAATGAATAATTAATAACAATCAAGATATGATTATTGAACATACTTTATAAATACATTGCTTTCGTGAGTAGTGCCCGGGAATAATAGGCTAATAACAGAATTGAATTTTAGAAAAATGTTGAGCGTAATAATACTGCAAAATGATTGTGAAGTTTTATTGTTTTTCATTCGGTGTGCAATTCAATTTTTTAGATACGTCGATCACATTTATTTGATTTGTTACATCGGGGGCATTTAGACATTGAAAGTATGTTGATTAAAATACTACATATGATACTGTATCGTAATTACGTAAAAAATCTGTTTTTATGTGTCAGAAAGTGTAATTATTTTGTAACAAAGGCCTGGCTGTTTATGACGCTAGCTAGAGGACAGTGGCGAATCCGAAAGCATTTTTTGTAATTTTCTCTTCATTTCTTCAAAACAATTATCACAAATTGACCGCAATTGAAAATGCGATTGACGAAAAAATTTGTGCTAAAAAAGTTTTCTTCGACCAATTTATATGCCGTTTCCTTGCATGTATTAAATGGCTTCGGATTATATCCAATATAATAAAGTTTTCGGCAGTAGATACGATAGCTCATTATTACATCCGATCAACACAAAGAGTACAGCAGAAGTCAATATTAATTATTTAGCGTGTGTAATAAAAGTGTAAATGTTAAAATAGGCGACCAGATAAAATAAAACATATTCTACGTTGCTGAAAGACCTTTGGTGAATGGACTTGTTTAGTAAATATACTTTAATTATATTTCTGACTGCTGCTCTCGTGAATACTCAACCAACTTGAATATAACAATCTCCTTTAGCCACTTATTATATAAATAACAAATATTTTTCAAACATATTTATCGAGGTTCCGAACTGAACGTGACATCCTCTGAAATAATTTGTGGATCCTCCCCTGTAATCCGTGAGAGAGGGGAGGAGGAAAAAAGGGGACGAGGACGAGGAGAGTGGGAAGAGGAGAGAGGCGAGAGGAGGGCGAGAAGAGGAGAGATAGGAGAGGGAGCGAGAAGGAAGGAAGGAAGGAGAGAAGTGAGAGGAATGGAGGGAGGGAAAGAGAAGAGAGACGGAGCGAGTGGGGGAGGGAGAGGAGGGAAGGGAAGGGCGGGAGAGAGGCGAGACGTACCCCTTGGAGCGCAGGAGGCTGAGCAGCTGGTAGGCGGAGAGGCGGCGCGGGCGGCCGGCGCCGGGCTTGAGCAGCCATGCGGCGTCGGCGGCCACGGCCGCGCGGGACGCCTGCTCTCTCTGCT